TTACAATATTGTAAGATAATCAACTTTGAAAGACTTAATAACTTTAATCAATACCATGACCAAACATAGTTCCAAAGGACTCATGATGAAGTAAGACATCCACCTCTAGAAGGAGCTAATGGACTCAGAGTGCAATTTAAGCGTATTTTGTTTTTTTCCCTTTTGTTGGGGGGGGGGAGATGGGGCTTTTTTCTTTCAACCAACCGAATGAGGAAATATATTTTGCATAACTATACATATTTGTAATGGATTTTGTTTTTCTTGTCTTCTTAATTGGTAGGGCAGGAGGAGGAGGGACAGATAATTTGAAATTGAGAAATGAAATAAAATTGAATTAAAAATGATCTTTATTATTAACGTGTTCTCCATCAATTTCTTAAGTCTAGAAATCAACACAAATCAATAAACCAAGTTCTGGTTTGTAATGTTTTTGATTTCAAAGGTATAAAATGCTCACACTGAAAATTTAATAATGGGCTCTCAAGATCTATTCAAGCTGCTTTCAGCACACTGCTGACCTTACTCGTTCCCCTAAACTTTGCAATCCAGATTTCTCCTAGCTGTTCCTCGCAGAAGATACTCCATCTCCTGAGGCTGGTAAATTTTACAGGTTATCTTACAAGCCTAAAATTCTCTTCCTCCTCATCTCTGCCCCCTGGCTTTTTCTGGCTTCTTTTAAGTTTAATAGATAAAATTCCAACATCTACAAAATGCCTTTTTCCATGATTTCTTAATGTTAGTACCTTCCCTGTGTTGATTCTCTCTAATTGATCCTGTGTATCTTTGTACACAGTTGTTTGCATGTTGCATCTGCCATTAGACTGTGAGCTTTGGGAGCCCATTCTTTTGCCTTTCTTTGTATTCTCAGAACTTTGCACAATATCTAGCACATAGTGCCTAAGATTAGGATTCAAATTCCTGCCTCTTCATCATATGGTAGGCAATAGGCCATGGTATTTTTGTGCTTTTATACTGTGACTAACTGATTGTGTGTGTGTAAAACTCAATCTATTGAAATTAAGTCACATTTTTATCTCTTATTAAAACTCTGAAAAGTTTTATTTATGAAAAATTAGTAAAAAGATTGAAGATGATAGTAAAAATATTTGAAGCATAATATAGAAAATTTGTTAGAATTGAGAGATCATGTTAGAAATAATGTTGCATTGTTCCTCATTTTCAGTGACATTCTTTCATTAAAACTAATCTAGTGAGACATTTTTACTGTTCTTAGCAGTGTAAATTGGCTGACTAGGCAAAAAAAAACAAAACAAAACAATTCCCCAATTCACTGTTTTCATTTTTATATTGGTAATTTGGATTTTTCTTTCATTTTTTAATCACATTAAACAATGGTTTATCTATTATATTGGTTTTATCATAAATCCAGCTGCCTACTTTTATTTATTAGTTCAATGGTTTTCTTTCAATTTTATCAATCTCTCCTTTAATTTTCAGGATTTCCAGTTTGGTGTTAATTCAGGATTATTAATTTGTCCTTTTTCCACTTTTTTTTTAGTTGCATGTCCAATTTGTTCATCTGCTCTTTCTCTTTTTTATTGCATAAGCATTTAAGGATATCAGTTTTCACTGAAGTACTACTTTGGCAGCACCTCATAAATTTTTATATATTGTCTCATTGTTGCAATTCTCTTTAATGAAATTATTGTTTCTGTAATTTATTCTTTGACCCACTGATTCTTTAGGATTAGAATATTTAGTTTCCAGTTAAATTTGAATCTATGCTTCCATTGCCCTTCATTGAACGTAATTTTTATTACATTACAATCTAAAAAGGATGAATTTAATATTGCTGGGGTTTTTTCATTTGGTTTTGAGGTTTTTATACCCAACTATATGATCAGTTTTTGTATAGGCGCCATGTACCACTGATAAAAAGGTATATTCTTTTTTTATTCCTATTCAGTTTTCTCCAGAAATCTTTTATATCTAACCTCTCTAAAATTTTATTCATCTCCTTAACTACTCATTTATTTTTGGTTCAATGTATCTAACTCTGAGAGGGGAAAATTGAAGTGCCCCCCCCCGCCCAGTATAGTTTCACTCTCTATTTCCTCCTTAACTCATTTAATTTTTTTTTAAGAATTTGGATGCTGTACTATTTGGTACATATATGTTTAGTATTGTTATTGCTTCATTGTCTGTGTTATCTTTTAGCAAGATTTGGTTTCAGTGCTCATCTCTTTTACTTAGATCTATTTTTTTGCCTTTTCTTTGTCTGAGATCGTGATTTCTATGTGCCTTCTTCACTTCAGCTAAAACATAACAGATTCTGCTCCAGCCCTTTATTTTTATTCTGTGTGTGTTTCTCTCCTTCAATTGTGTTTTTTGTAAACAACACATTGTAGGGTACTGGCTTTTAATCCACTCTGTTATCTGCTTCAGTTTTATGGGGGAGTATATTCCATTCACATTCACGGTTATGATTATTAACTATGTATTTCCCTCAATCCCATTTCCCCCACCCTGTTTATCCTCCTCTCTCTTTTTCCTTTTCACCCTGTCCTCTTCAAAAGTGTTCTGCTTCTGACCACCAACTTCCCAGTCCAACCTGTCTTCTATCACTCACTTTCTTCTCTTATTCCCCTCCCCTCCCTCTTCCCTGTAGGGTAAGGTAGATTTCTATACCCAACTAAGTATGTGTGTTTTTCCCTCTTTCAGCCAATTCTGATATGAGTAAGGTTTAGGCATTGCCCATCACAGACCACACATCTCCCCTCTACTGTAAAAGCTTGTTCTGCATCTCTTTTATGTGAGATAATTTACCCCATTCTCTCCTTGCCCCCTTCTTCCAGTGCATCCTTCCTTCTTACCCCTTAATTTTGTTTTGTGGATATCATGCCAACATTATCACTCATACCCCATGCACTCTGTGTACCCTCATACCCATGCCTTCTAACTCCCCTAATATTAAGAATTATAAGTATCATCTTCCCATGTAGAAATATAAACAGCTTAACCTAATGGAATCCCTTATGTTTTCTGTTTCCTGTTTACCTTTTTATGTTTCTTTTGAGTTTTGTATTTGAAAATCAAATTTTCTGTTTAGCTCTGCTCTTTTCATCAGGAATACTGGAAAGTCCTCAATTTCATTAAATATCCATTTTTCCCCTGGAGGATCATATTCAGTTTCACTGAGTAGGTGATTCTTGATTGTAATCCTACCTCCTTTGCCCTCTGGGATATCATATTGCAAGCCCTCTGAACCCTTAATGTTGAAACTGCTAAATCCTATGTTTTCCTGGCTGTGACTTCACAATAAATTGAATTGTTTCTTTATGATTGCTTGCAGTATTTTCTCCTTGACCTGGGAGCTTTTGAATTTGGCTATAATATTCTTGGGACTTTTCATTTTAGGATCTTTTTTGAGAAGTGATCAATGAATTCTTTCCATTTGTATTTTACTTTCTGGTTACTAGAGATCAGGAAAGTTTTCTTGATGATTTCTTGAAAGATTTTGTCTAGGTTATTTTTTTTATCAGTAGTTCTTAAATGCTCTCCTGGATCTATTTTCTAGGTCAGTTGTTTTTCCAATAAGGTATTTCGAATTTTTTCTATTTTTTTCATTCTTTTGCTTTTGTTTGATTGTTTCTACATGTCTCTTGGAGTCATTAGCTTCCACTTGCCTAATTTTAATTTTCAAGAAATTATTTTCTTTAATTAGCTTTTGTGCCTCATTTGGCCAGTTTTATTTTTTAAAGAGTTCTTTTCTTCAGTTAATTTTTGCACACATATTCCCACTTTTTGTGCTTCCCTTACCAAGCTGTTGACACTTTTTCATGATTCTCTTTTGTCATTCTCATTTCTTTTCCCATGTTCTCTTCCACCTCTCTTATTTGATTTTTAAAATTCTTTTTGAGCTATTCCAATAATTCTTTTTGGGCTGGACACCTCTTCACCTTTGTCTTTGAGGCTTTGCATGTAGCCATTTTTGACATTGATATCCTTCTGAGTTTGTGTTTTGATCTTCCCTGTCACCATAATAACTCTCATTTTCCACACACATATGCATACACACATACCTTTATCTATTTTTCAATCAATTTGTATATATTAGGTACACGGTACTTTGGCCACTGTTCTAATTATTGAGAATGTGAATAAAAGGCAAAAAATGCACTCTGCCCTCAAGGAACTTCATACTAACTGGAAAACATGTACAAAAATAGGTATATACTAGAGATTAGATGGAAGATAACCATAGAAGGGAAAGCACTAGCAACTGAGAGAAATAGGAAAGTTTACCTATAGAAGGTAGAATTTGACCAGAATCTTGAAAGAAGCCAGGGATTCAAAGAGATAGAGATGAGTTTGTAGGTTCCCAAATGCAATGCAACCGAACTTTTTACTTCTGTTCTCTTCTGAGCTCAGTTCATCATTCACTTTCACTATCTCAAAGCTATGTATTGTAACATTAATTTGATTCACTGGTCATCCAATGGAATAACATAGTTTAGACAGTAAGCATTTTTTGTTCTATTTAGTTTTTCCTCATATTGTTTGCTGGACTGTTCTCTTGAGTTATCATGGATCTGATCATAAGTGGATCTGAAATATAATGGGACCTCAATACAATCCAGTGGTCTCATGAGAAAATAGGAGCATCGTGAGGACCTTATCATCTTAGAAGATTCCCCTTCCCACTGGGACCTGAAAGCACCTAAGGAATGGCTTACTCTATTTAAACATAATAAAACTGAATTCATTAAATAAAGTTTTCTCCAAAAAAAAATCAATCCAGCCACTAATTTAACTGGCTTTTCACCCAAATTACAAATCAAATAATGTCCTCATACAAACTTTAGTTTCAGAGTATATGAATGTACTTGTGTAAGTAAAGTAGTCTAGAAAGTTACTACCATTGGGTTAAAGTTGGACAAGAATGACCTTTGCCAAGCTGTCAATTATAAAGGGTCTCAGTCCATGAATAGTTTTGTTTCTCCTTTCCTAATTTTTTTTCTATTTTGTATATTTTAAAGGCTGCTGGAGCAGATGCCCTGGAGTTAAATTTATCATGTTCACATGGCATGGGAGAAAGAGGAATGGGCTTGGCCTGTGGGCAGGTAAGAACTTCAACTTCTTCCTTTTGCATGTCTGAGCAGCAATGCAGGCCAGTGTATTGATGGTTATTGCACCTCATGCTCCTAGGCCTATGAAACAGATTACTGGCTGGAGAGTTTCAGGTCTGCATTGTTTAAATATTTAGTACTTAAAAAGTGGAAAATGAGAGAAGCTGAAATTACACAAAGTGTTTAGTTTTATTGAGGAAAAAATTACATTATGTGCTTGACAGGAAGTAATATCATAACAAATAGTTTTTAAAAGCACTGAGGCAGAATTAGCTGCTTTCAAATGCAGTGTTCTTTATTCATTCTTAATGCTGATCCAGTTTCCCTGGAGCAATATCCTGGCCAAAGTGCATTGTTCATAGTGATTTTGTAGTAAATGGGGCACAGCACAAATGGCATTTTACATTTTTTAGCATCTGATCATTATTCCCTAACAGTATTTGGGGAGTCACAGAAAGAATTTGTTACTATTTTTATATTTGTATACAATGCATAGAAACTTCCACATTGCAGTACTTTTGATGGACTAGCATGCCTATAAAGCAAAGGAATTCTGAAGGCATAACCTAAATACAGAATTATAGGATAAAATCTTGAAAGATTTCATTGCTAAAAATGAAACACTTTGGCTTTCACTTAGCTTTTAATCTTGTAGAAAAAAAATCCATAGTGACATCAGTGCCATAATGAGAACCATTTTTGAGTGATGGTAGACTGGTGATGTCTGCTGAATATATTCTTATTCCAGATTTTTTCTTTTGAGGAGGAGGCAAACTGGACTCATGCTTTCACTGATATAAAGAGCTCCCAATATGGAAACTCCCTCCACTGATGTAGAATAGAATTTCGTCCATTGTTTAAAATCTTAGAGAGTCGCCTGGGGCACTGAGAAATTTAGTGACTTGACTATAGATGGTCGTGCAACTAGTATTTCTCTGAGGCGAGGCAGGAATCCGGGTTTTCAACACTAAAAATACACATGGTGCTTAATTTGGTGGACTGTTATTTTAACCTACTCAAATGAACATAGTTTGTATAGATATATGAAGATTTATAAGTATCTTACAAACACCGTGTTAACCTTCAGAACAGCCTTGAGTTAGGCAAAATGTATTCTTATGAGGAGTGTTTTGCCTAAAGTTTTTGGTTCATGCTGCCAAGTTTATAGGGAAATAGTAAGGAGTTCTGGAATGAAATACAAGACTCAGAACTTTCAATCAAAAGAATCATTAGATAAAAAGCACTCCACGAGTGAGTTAAATGACTTGAAAGTGATTTTCTTCACTAGTACAGAATCTGATTTCAACACGTGGAGAGAAAGGTGGAGGGGAAAAGTAAGGACGTATTTGAAGCAATCATATTTTCCCAACCTGAGCTAAAATTTTCTCTTTCCCCTTTACTACTTAGGGCATTTATATCTCAGCCTTCCATGACAGAAGGACATCAGTAGAAAAAAAAAATAGCATCTAACACAAAAAGTACACAACTTTGTGTGAAGTTATATCTTAGAATCATGGATTTTTTTTTTCCCTCGAAGTCACTTAAAAGCCATCAAATCCAATCTTTTCATTTTACAAATGAAGAAACTGAAACTAAAAGTTTAAATTAAAAACTTAACCTAAAAGGTTAAGTGACTTTTCCTAGGTCACACAGCTAGAAATTGCCTGAGGTAAGACTTTTAACAGGTTTTCTCTGATTTAAAGCACAAAGTTCTATCCTCTAGAGCACTGAAGCCTAAATATGGTAGTCTTGAAAATGATGCTGGAGAGAATCTTTCAAAGAAGACCCATCTCAAATTCATTTTTGAGCATAAAATAATTCTAACTTTAACTCTCTTAAAATATATGACATTACTTAGATATTAAGTTATCTAAGTGACAGATAGTAGTTAGCAAGGAGCTCTCTGACAACATGGATTCTTGCACAATCTTTAGCTAAATCAGGAATCCAGCCATCACCAATCAGTGTTATCATTTTCATTTTTAGAAAGCTTGGAGAGCATCCAAGAATAGAAGGAAAGTAGGAAACTAGGAACAAATGGAGACCAGAACTAAATAGAAAATTTTACTTTGAAATATAAGACTCAAGAGAAGCATAAAAAAGGTAAAGATGAAAGAGAAATCATAAGTGATTCAACAATGTTAAACTGTTTACCTTGCTATATGGGAATGTGATATATGTCATTTCTAAGAATTTTATTATTATTTGGCAGTTAGAGGACTGCACTTTCACAAAAACTGACCATATATTAGAGCATAAAAATCTCACAACCAAATGCAGAAAAACAGAAATATTAAATGCAATGTTTTCAGACCATAATGAATTAAAAATTATATTCTAGAGGGCAGCTAGGTGGCGCAGTGGATAGAGCACTGGCCCTGGAGTCAAGAGGACCTGAGTTCAAATCCAGCCTCAGACACATAACACTAGCTCTGTGACTCTGGGCAAGTCACTTAACCCCAATTGCCTCACTACATATATGTAGATAGATAGATAGATAGATATAGATATATACACATATGTGTGTATGCATGTATGTGTGTGTGTGTGTGTGTGTGTGTGTGTGTGTGTGTATATATATATATATATTCTATAGAGGGCTATGGAAGTATTGATAAAAAATCAATTGAAAACTAGATAACTTAATCCTAAAGAATGAGGCAGCGAGGTGGTGCAATGGATAAAGTGCCAGATCTGGAGTCAGGAAAACTCATCTTTGTGAGTTCAAATCTGGCCTCAGACACTTACTAGCTGTGTGACCCTGAACAAGTCACTTAACCCTATTTTCCTCAGTTCCTCATTTCTAAGTTATACTGAAGAAGGAAATGGCAAACCACACCATTATCTTTGCCAAGAAAACACCAAATGCCATCGTGAAGAGTTGAATATGACTGAAATTACTGACCAACAAGAAAAAAAATGAGTGGGTCAAAGAATAAATCATAGAAACAATTATTTCATTACAGAATAACAATGAGACAGTATTCCAGAATTTATGGATGCAGCCAAAGCGCTACTAAGGGAAAATTTATATCTCTTACATCAATAAAATAGAGAAAGTGCAGATCAATAAATTGGACATACAACTAAAACACTAGAAAAAGAACAAATGAAAAATCCTCAATTAAACCCCGAAATGGAAATCCTGAAAATCAAAGGAGAGATTAATAAAACTGACAGAAAAAAATTGAACTAATAAATTAAACTAGGGGCTAGCTTTGTGAAAAAAAATAATAAAATGGACAAACTATTGGTTAACTAGATTAAAAAAAAGAAAGAAAAAAACCAAATTACCAATATCAAAGTTGCAGGATATAAAATAAACCCATATAAATCATCAGTATTTCTGTATATTACCAACAAAGTCCAACAGCAAGAGCTAGAAAGAGAAATTTTATTTAAAATAACTTCAGACAATATAAAATACTTAGAAGTCTATCTGCCAAGACAAACCCACGGATTATATGAACACACGTACAAAATACTTTTCATAAAATAAAGACAGATATAAACAACTGGAGAAATATTAATTTCTCATGGGTAGGCTGAGCCAATATAATAAAAATGGCAATTCTACCTAAGTGACTTATTTAATACCATACCAATCAAACTACCAAAGAATTATTTTACATAACTAGAAAAAAATAAAAATATATAAATTATAAAAATAATAGTCATTTTAAAATAAAATAAAAACATTCATTTGGAGGAACAAAATGTCAAGAATATCAAAGGAATCAATAAAAAGCAGGTGGTAGGAGTGATCCAAAATTGGGGTTAAGTAGAGAATGAGTATCAGAAAAAATAGTAATAACTAATACTATACTCTGCATTTAGATGTCTACCTGAAAGTTTTAATGTAATATTAATCTATAAATTATTCCTAGCTTAGAGAGATAGATGTACAAACTGTCATAGTCCCCCATGTTCTCTGATATGACTACCCTAAGAAGATATCAGGTTAACATTTATAAGATTCTTAATAAAAAAAAAAAAGATCCAATCTGAGTTAACATTCTAAAATTGTTGAGGAACCAAATCATCATCCCATTCTTTCCTGGACCACTCCCATCACTCTGAAATTAAAAATAACCTTTTCTCATTGGAGAAATGTGGGCCTAGTTCTAATCACTTTGAGTAGGTAGAGAGTCAGTGAACAAGACAAAAAAAAATATTTTTTATTACATTTCTGGTTACTACCCTTAATTTATTCACCTAACAAAATGTCATCTTTGGCTGTTTTTTCCCCTTTTGTCTTTTCCTATTGCTTGTCTTTCCAATGTCCTTTTCCGAGGAGCATGTAATGCTTTAAATGAAAATATTTTAAAAATATTTTTAGATTCTCAAAAAAGATTTTTAGTATACTTCCATGGGAATAAAGAATTCAAGAGTACAGAACAATTTCACATTGAATAGGTTTACTATTGGGGCAAGATAGAGAAGGGAGAAAAAAATGAAATCAGAGCAGGGGTAATGGCTTGAGAAAGCATCGAGAGCTACAGAGTTTGGAGGTCGTGGTCAAAATAAACAGTGTTAAGATGAATGAAGCATAGAAAGACATGGAATGATAGAAGATTATTATTGAAGAAAAGGATTTCAGAACTAAAGTATATCCAGAATAGGGTGATAAGGCTAGTGAAAGGGCTCAAAACCCTGTCAACATTAATCTGTTGAAGGATCTGGGATATCTAGCTTTAAGAAGAGGAGATTCAAGTCTACAGGAAGGCTATGATTACTGTTTTCAAGTATTAGAAGGGCTATAATGGGGAAGAGGGATTAAACTCTTTCAGTCTGATCCTAGAGGGCTAGAGTAGGACCAGATTCATCTCAATGTAAGGGAAAACTTCCTCACAACTTAGGGTACCCAAAAGTGGAATGGACAACTTTGGGAAGTAGATAGTTCCCCTTCACTTGTCTTTTTTAAATAGAAACTGCCTTTAACACTTGTCAATAATGTTCTAATGTTCCTTCTGTGGTAGCCACTAATGTAGATG